CGGCGACGTCGCGAAGGAACGCAGCCGCATCGCGCGCGTGACACACCACTGCAGCGCCGCGCATCGTCTCGCGCATGCCGAGATCCCGCACCGCCGCGCGAAAGCACTGCGGCTCCGCGTCGACGAGGTCGAGCCGCACCATGTCCCGCGAAAAGTACTGCTGCAGGAATGCAGGCAGAGAGCCGCCGCCAACGCCAAGCACCGCCACGCGCAGCCGCGGAAGAGGCGACGGCAGTAGGAGAAAGGCGCTCAGCATCACGCGGAGGTACGGTGCCCCCAAGTAGGTTGAGTCGCCGGCGCAGTTCAGCGACGACGGGGCGAAGGGGTCNCGCGGAGGTACGGTGCCCCCAAGTAGGTTGAGTCGCCGGCGCAGTTCAGCGACGACGGGGCGAAGGGGTCGCAGCGGATGAGCGACTGGTGGGTCGCGCCGTCCGCCAGTCGTCGCAGCTCGTCCAGTGCAGACGAGGACGGGGACGATGAGGACGGCTCAATTGTCATGGCCGAGTACTTCGCCGTCCCGGCCGGCCACGTTGAACAGGCGACGAACGGCACACTATCCGTAGCAGCTGCAGCAGTGGTGGAACCAGCGCCAGTCGAAGCGTCAGCCAGTGGCGGGGCCCGCGCGTCGCCTACCACCTCTCGCACAAGGTGGAGCTGATTTTCCTCCGCCGAAGGATTGATGCGACCCACGACAGTGTGCGTTTCGTTAGAGAAGAGTGCGCAGAGTCGGGAAAACATACCGCTCAAGGTGCTGCTGTCATCACTGCCGCTGCTGCTCGTGTTGCCGTCGTCACGGAGATCGCCGGACGCATCATTTGCCGATGCGCGGACGTAGTAGTTCCACACCACGACGGAATAGCCGTCAAACGCCTGGCAGGGGTATCGCACGTGCTCCTCGGCACGAACAACTGACTGTGTGTCAAACAAAGGGACTGTACGCCGCCCCCGACGGAGCAACCCCCACGCATCAACGGGACAGAAAACCACAGCAGCGCCTCCTGCTGCTGCCGCAGCGGCGACGCCCCACGCGCGGCGGTTCAGCGAACCAAAGAAGTACGACATTCCCCGCAATGCTTTCAGGCATATATACATGCACACATGTGTTGATGTGTGTGTGTGTGTGTGTGTGTGTGTGTGTGTGTGTATCCACCACACACAACAATAACAATAAACAAATAACACAAGAAAGGAAGAAAAACACAAATGCAAGTTACCATGACTCGGAAGAATTTTTAAGCCTGACAGCCACAGTGGATTCACTGCACCCCCACCAATCCACCGGCTGGGAGTAGGAAAGGAATTTCGGGCAACGTAGAAAAGAAATTTACGAACCACAATAACGCAAAGCGAATCAATACACCAGTGTGCCACGGAAAGCCTGCGGGGATACACGTCAAGCCTTTAAAGACACACGCATTTTACTATTCTAATTCCCGCCAGCAGATGCGTCATCACGCACCTTTTTTATCAGGTGTCTTTTCTTCACCGCTGCGGACCCGCCACACAATGTCGTAGTGCAGCTTTGAATACACCGCCATGAAAAAGCGCAACCAGCCGCCCAGAAGCAACTGCATCAGCAACTGCACCACGCCCGTAGCTGGCTCCATGCCGGAGCACCCCCAACTCATCAGTAACGCGTCAATGCCCAGAGACACATCAAAGCGGTATTGTGCGATGCCATCCGCAATACACTTCCCCATCTCATCCGCCCCGCACGGCACATTGCCACCAAAGGACGATATTTCACGGCACTCAGGGCTCTTGTGCAGATTCTCCTCCCGCAGACCTGGCGTCTCCACGTCGGGCGGGCTCACGANAGGACGATATTTCACGGCACTCAGGGCTCTTGTGCAGATTCTCCTCCCGCAGACCTGGCGTCTCCACGTCGGGCGGGCTCACGACCTGGCAGCGCACGCCGAGGCAGCTGTTCTCCATGTCGAGGCTGTGGGCGAAGGCGCGTATGGCTGCCTTGCTGGCCGCGTAGATGGAGTAGCCTGCGATCGGGCAGCGCGCAGCCATGCTGCTCAACAGCACGATGCGGCCAGAGCGGCGCTGCAGCATGCCCGGCAGCACCTCCCGCACAACATTCACGCAGCCGAAGAAGTTGACGTCCATCATGCGGCGACAGTCGGCAGACGTCGTGTCGACGAAGCGGGCGGGCACCGCGAAGCCAGCGTTGCACACAACGAGGTTAAGCCCCGAAGCGGCCGTCAAGGCGTCGATTTCCACCATGGCGCGCGACACCGACGCCTCGTCGCTGACGTCCATCACAATACCGTGCACCCGTGTGCCGTGCGGCCCCGCCTCGTTGCGGAGCGTTGCCGCTGCTGCCTGCAGCGCGTCCGCGCGGCGCGCAGCGATAACGACGACTTTTGCCTGGCGGAGGACCAACTGCCGTGCGATCTCGAAGCCGATGCCTGCGCTACCGCCGGTCACCAGCGCGCAGCAACCAGCGATGTGGAACGTTGGCACGCGTTGCGTGACCCACACCGCCGTTCCCAACACCGCCGTAAACACGAGGAGGGCGCACGCACCTAGGAACACCACCATTCGTCGTACAACACCGAGATGTGAGATAGAATATCACCAAACGAATGGATTGGACACAACACACAAAAAATGAAAGACCCTTCCCTATATGCATTTACAGAAAACAGATGCACCAACGCAACACAATATGCAGTGATGCACATAACGTGTGTGTGTGGATGGG